CGCCTTTTTTCTGGCCTGTAAGGCAATATACCGGCATCTGCGGGTGTGGGTCTCGTGGACGACCACTACTTAACCCCCGGATAGCTCTTCCTGTAGTTTGAAATGTCTCCAAAGTCGTGAAACGATGCTGTGAGCAATTCGAACTCTTCAGCCACACTTGTCACACTGCGGCCTTCCTCCAACTTCCCATGATTCGACTCGGGTAAAGCATCCAGATGTCGTCTAACAGATTGATTATTCGCATTTCTCGCTGAGGCAGCAATCGGTGTGATTTAACTGCTATACGGCGTGCAATCTCTTTGCCAGAAATACTGATCTTACACCGACAACATGCTTTATACTACTCAGACACTCCCCCATTACGTCTACCGCATATCTGCGCATGTGCTACCGTACATCACCTTGCTGAATCTCCTGATGGTCTTTATGTCCGCTCTGCATCTTCGTTCAGCTGATATGCTAATTTTCGACTTCGTCCTTAATTTTTGCACACCAGTGTATACGGTAGTTTGCAGTATACTTTTCTGCTTGTGTCACTGCTGATGTCTTTAGTTTCGAGGTCTTACTGTCATATTTACGTAAATACTAATTATACGTGGATATCATATTCATTTTCATATTACCGGAATTTCATTTCATTGTAAGCTATTCTATGCATATATGCTTCATATGATACCATTAAGTTCTAGTTAAATTATGTGGCCTCGGAAACTAGAACTAGAGAAGAGTATAGCAACTATTGGCTGTTCTTCTCACAACTGCAGAAATAAGGTCCAAAGAGGGGTAAAAATATCCTTTTATTTAACTCTAAAAATAATAACAGTTAGCCCCTTTCGGGCTCATAGAAAAGCATCTATTTGGGCTTAAAACAGAAATTATGAAACTAACTTAGCCGAAGCTGTATAGAAATAACTAACCGAGTCTGCTCTTATTAAAACATCACCGATGGATACTAGCAGACACGTAAGACTACGGCTGAACGGAGCAAGATAGGCTTAAAGCAACGATGTGGCCAGAAGACAGAACACGCTCTACTGAGAACTTCTGAGCTCTTCTACTTAAGTGACTGAAACTTTCCATTAAATACTGGTTCTAACTCATTTACATAAAACGCGATACTGACAACTCATTTTAACAGGCAGTTGTAGGTGAAAAAGAAGATAATAAAGGAAAGGATTTCAAAATTAGAAATAATTATTTGTTAAATTCCGCTATTTTTTCATAAGGCATTTTGTCCAAAAGTAAATCTTGTAACCACACAAAACTTTGCTCACAGAAAGCCCTCTCGTGACTTAGCTTATTTAGCGACTTAGCTTTGGATTACACTGAATATATAATTTATTAATCCAAATTTTTGGTAGATATCTTGCACAATTTTTTGAAATTCTTGCAATATTATTTTATTAACAATCAATCTTCCTAGCAAGATGTTGATCATTCGGTAATTATCTAAAACGTAACTGGTAGCAAATGTATTTTGTGACTGAAATTATCTTGATCTTTAGTGTAACTGACATTCTAAGGATCCGTGTCTATTGTTAATCATGTCGTTATGTTACCGAAAGTTGTTATCCAAATGAAATAAGAAAACCTGCTAAACATATTACACGTTTTTCTTTATTCCCTCATTTGGTTGCTGCTTTATGTGATTTTTTGCATCTGTTTTTGTATGTATGTCATTTTATTTTACTGTCACTCAATACACTGCCATTATTCAGTGATGTTTTGCATCTGTTTTTGTATGTATGTTATTTTATTTTACTGTTACTCAATGCACTGCCATTATTTAGTGCAACGAATTGACTTTAAAACTATTCCTCGAAAAGCATTATGCCTGATTATAAAGGAATCGAAGTTAACTATTTGAACAACTGATTCAATTTTGCAATAAGATAAATAAACAGAAACATTTTCCTCTCCATAAAGAAGGACAAATCAAATTATTTTTTCCTCAAAACCAATACATTTCCAATAAGTAAACTTATCTTTTTAATGAATTGTTTTCCCATATTCAATATCTAATTCAAAAACTTTCCAACCTCTCTGAACAGTTTGCTGTAGTCAGGCAACATTGAATCATAACACACATTTCCGCAAGCATATGCAAGCTCTTTATATGCCACGGAAACATGTTCACGTTTGGTGCTGAAAACGTAAGTACAAGTGTTGTACACAGCACACATACGCTTATTTTTAATGTAATAAAGCAAGTCTTTAAAAAAATTGTACCACTTATATTTCCAAAAGTTTGTGCCAAAGGCACATTTCCAGTTTAAGAAAGAAATTAAATAAGACAGGTATTTAGACCTGTCTCATTTAAATAAGACGGGTCTTAATTAAATAAGACAGAGAAATTTTGATCGCGTGAGGCAGTAAAACTGTACGACATTTAAACTTTTATACGATCTTTCAATGAAGAAAGGGCCAGCGAGTAAGTTGTTCCTTATGCTAATAAAGATCTAGCAAAAGAAAATTAATATGCAAAATTGGGTTCAAAAATTGTTAAAATTATACGAGTTCCGTAACGTTTAATGACTCTGCATAGAGATTTTTTTAATTTTAGCATTCTTCAAATGTAAACTTAAAACATCTCTTCATAAACACAGGATTTCTATATGCAGCATGTTTCAGTATCACGTATAGTAGTAGTTTGCTTCCGAGCAGTAGTTTGCTGAAAGACGGATCGGAATCATTCAGCTCCGTAAGATCAAAAATACCTTTGTCATATGTAAGCGTGCATAGAACACAAGAAATAAAAATCCAGTACTTAAGGGAACATAGTGAGATTCATTAATAGGCACAGGCAAAAGTATGTGCTACACAAGCAATGTATTGCGAAATGCCCAGAGATCACATCCAGTGTTCGACAATGTGCTTCCGAGATGTAATACATAGCTGACATCTTCGGCGCATGGAATTACAAACCAGTCTGGAAAACTCCCAGCTTATCTCAGACGGCCATGGTGGCCTACCAGCGGCCGAGTGGTTAAGTCGTTGAACACTGCCCGAGGTTCAAATCCCACGAACTTCGGCCCGAGGTTCACTTCGGCCCGAGGTTCATATCCCACGAATGGGTTGGCTGCATGGGCGTTTTCGTGGTTTTTCCCATATGTAACGTTTTTATGAGCCAGTTCCATATCAGCCAGTTTTTCTTAGAAAGTCTTCCCCGAAGGCATCCATCCCTTAGGCACATATAGACCTAGTGTGCTTTTCCATAAGATATCAAACCCAGACTGCCTTGGTAGCTACTGAGTTGAGTGCAACAAGTCTCTGGGCACTGCCCACAAAAGTGTCTTACACCAGAACTTTCAAGGAATCTTAGGGAAAAAAATAATCAAAGATGCCTGATTCACTTTTATCCACATGTCATGTTAAGTGTGTAAGAACTTCCCCGCTAAAATCCGGTGGCGATCCTATCATCCTGAAATCACATTTCAAGGCATGACGACTGCTGAACCCGGCTGCTCTTTGCCTAAAAGTTCTAACAAGACTTCCTTCAAAAATACCTTATAATTCCATTTGTACAGACTAAAGGATTTGAGGTATAAGCCTGTTAAATATCCTGGTAATCCTGGATAAAATATTTACAAAAAAAACTGTGTTGTGCTACTTTGTTCGCATAGCGAGGTATTTTTCCACCGTCCATACATGAACATTATTATAATGAAGGCAACTTTCCTCTGCAAAAAACGGCTCGTAGATATTGCCACTTCCAACTTTTTCGATTCTGCATAGCTATGTGATTCGTCTTTGAGCAAATTACCTCTCTCAGCAGTTTGGTCAGAAACACTATGTCCATGAATTCCTAAAGGAAATTATAAATGTAGTAAAATTTTGTAATAATAATAATTAAAATTTGAGTAATGTTTTAAGTGAGAATTTTCTTTTCTTATTAACTCAAATATGAATTTTTACAACTTAAGCTTTAAATATTAATAATTAAAAAATATTTTTTGAGAAGGGAATACCTTCTTAAATTTTTTAATAAAATTTAATGTTCATGACCATGCTATAGCTAATTTAATTAGAAATCGTTTAAACGCTCTAAATGACATAAATCAAATTATTATTGCTGCTTAATTAATACCAGCTGTGTAAATCAGAGAAAATTTCTCTTTTAAATTTTTTTAAATTATGATTTACCCATTACCTTTGACTCTATAGAAACAAACTATAACCACATTGCAAGAACTCCAGATTCATTTGGCATATTTTTCTCTTTAATATTTGTGGTTTTTTTTCTAAGATGCGTTTTTTGCTGCCTGTACGGTATAAACGAACGTAAGAATGATATTATGCATTAAAAATACTTTGTACTTACTGGCAGAAGATAGCAAAAATATTTCGTATTGTTTAGAGCATGAAAGTAAAGTTTTATAATTCCCGAGTTAAGAACAAAATTAAAGTTCATTCCATCATTTCAATTCACTAACAGGCACTCTTGCCATTAACGGTATTTTGTCATAGAAGCGCTAGAATCTATTTTTCCCTACGAAGGCATCCCTCTCTGTATACAGATAGCCTTCCCATACAGTCAGATAAAAACAGTAGAAATGTGTGAATGGAATGAATATATGTCTACGAATGCCATACTTTAAAACTTTACATAGCTGATGAGCGGAATAGTACTGTTTGGTTAATTATTAATTGTGATTAAGTATTATTGAGGTGGCTCCATTCTATTAATGTTCCATCAAAAAAACTTTCAAGAAAACTGTCTGAAAGTAAAAAAACTTCTAATTATAAAGATACACGTAGAAACACTTAAAACAAGTAATTTAAGTGGGAACACTTTAACTTTTAACTGTATTTTTAACTGCTTAACGAAAACTCAGTTTGAAATTAAATATCAAAAGTAAAAGGTCTTATAAAAAATTCTCAAAAACCAAAGAGGGATTTTCAAGGGAGTAGTTACTCAAAAACCATCACTCTATAACGTACTTCATAACTGTATTTTCAGATTTTATTATGAATGTATTAAAATGCTTCTTTATTTGCAGGCTCTATTTTTGGTTTCTATCGTAGCGGCTTGTTCATACCTTCCAACTAATGGAGCTGCCGACGTATCAAATAAAGGAGATCGAGGTAATGCTGCATCTCTGGATAATGTGAGCACAGCAGGCACCAAAGATCTAGTAAGACAAGCAACTGGTTGGGATCGACCTGTCTATGGCACACAAACCTGGTATCCTCCATCTAGCAACGTCAAAGGAACAGCTCATGGTGGTAGCGGTTACCAACCAGGATATCAGCCAGGTTATCAGGGAGGATATCAAAGTGGATACCAACCAGGATATCAAAGTGGTTACCAACCAGGATATCAAAGTGGTTATCAATCAGGGTATCAAAGTGGTTATCAACCTGGGTATCAAGGTGGATACATCGGGAGCGGAGCATATGGATACCCAAGTGGTTCGGGAAGTTATGTGGTTCCAGGTCGAGGAGGTTATCTTGGAGGTTATGGCAACAAAGGTTGGTCAACGGGTGGTTCAAACTGGGGTGGAAGCTACGGAGGACGTCCGGGGTCTGGAGCAAGTGGAGGCTATGGTGGCAACTATAAAGGCACCGTTTCGGGTAATCAGGGTTGGTATGGACAAGGTGGCCAAGGAGGTAGTTATGGAAGTGGTTGGTATGGGGGCAATCAAATAAAAGGGAGTAATGGAGGTTATAACTGGCCAGCTGGAGGATACAGAGGAGATAAGGGATACAGTGGTTCCTATGGTGGTAGCGTATCCGGATATCAACCTGGTTATGGTTATCCAAGTTATGGAAGTGGTTACACAAGCCAAGGCACAAGTAAAGGCTTAGGTAATCAGATTTATGGCTCTGGATATGGAGGCACATACCCAGGACAAACAAGTTGGGGAAGCGGAGGTTATGGCACTGCGGGGACGAAAGGGAGCTCATGGGCAGGTGGAAATGTTAATGATCGATACGGATATCAGGGTAATTATAAAGGAGTAACTAGCCCAAGAATTAATACAATTGGGGGTAACACATGGTCAGGACAGCGAACAGGATACATAGGTAACTATCCAAGTAGCAAGGGATCCTGGTGAGATTAGTAGGAGCTATATTTTATTTCTTTGCTGAAAGATAGAAATAAAAGTCTTATTTCACATTGATGTGTTCCTTTTTGAACTTCATGATGTACTGTTTCTATTTTTAATTTTTTTACAACATTGTTTTATATTTGATACTTTACACGTCGTATTTATGTGAAACAGTTCATAGCGAATTTCACATTTTGGAACTGAAAGATTAAATTGAAAAAAAACATTAAATTTTTTCATCATTGTATAAAGAGTTTTTTCTTTTTAAATTAAAAAGACTGTATGATTATTTCTTATGAGCTATGAAGAAAATGCATTTTTTAAACCTTTGGTTTTGATTTAGAATAGAATAATGCTGTTTTCTTCAACGATCATAAATTATATATAATTATTAAAGTAGTGTCATAATGACTAATACTATGATTAATACTAATCTAATACTATGATTTACTTATTTTTGTCACTACATTAACAACAGTTAATCAGTGAATTAGAATCACCCTGACAGCACGCATTTTTAAGCACGCTGAATTGATAATATAATCTAATATTTTTAAAAGTATCCTCATAAAAATATCAAATAGCTTTGCTTCATTCCTTCGTGACATTACAGTTATTTTGTATTAGATTATCTTCAAAATATTCATTCCAGATATGCAGTAATTTCACAAAACTATCAGTCTTCGTGAATACTGCTGACAATCATTATGTAAAAAGTTGTGTATATTTTCATTTTTGGTATGTTAAAAAATAAAGAATTCACAACTGTTAATTATGTGTTGAAGCTTTATTGTCTTGTATAACTTATAATTTACCTTGTCGAGAATTTCATGTCTTGCATATATTGATGCAAAAGCCTTTTACGTTTAGGCTGTATATGATCACATCAACATGATTATTTTATTTTATGTACATGATAGCATTGTTAAAAATAAATAATATATAGCAAATTGTGTTTTGTTCAGTTTTTTACAATCATTTACTAGTTCTTTACCTGTTAGTAAACCTTTAAGTTTTTTTAAGTAACTCCAATTTTTTACTGATTTCAGGTGCTCTGTTAAAAGTAACATATGATTTCTTTTGCACTAATACAGTATCTGAATTTGAAACTTAATTTTACATTTGCAGGCTCACAATAATATCTACTCTGCTTAATAATCAATTATCTGTTTAAATTTGGATTCTTTCAGAGTCAGATGACTTTTTCTGTTATCAGAAACAGCAAAATAATATCTTCTGTACACTTTATCAGGATATCCTCAAATGGCCCGAAACACTAACATTAATAAATCGGATTCGGTTTAGAATATAGGCTCTTACAGGACACCACAGATACACAGCATTTATATGCTTTGGCAAATCAGACATGATGATGTACTTTGCATCAGCCAGCATCTTGATTAGTTGGCCGTACAGATATTTTGATGCGAGAGTTCAGAAACATATTTCTGTTGAAAAATGGAAGAAGGTCGATCTTTGAAATCATTCCGCAGCAGCATATGTTTCTTATTTGAGACATAACTTCTACACTGGTTAAACCAGGAAGTATGGAGATTGACTAGAAGAAATAATTTCAGGTAAAAGGTTGCTGGAACGCGCAAAGTAACAACCTTGTGTTTGGCGTAAATTTCAATTCAGATGCTATCAATTTCGAAGACAAACAGGTGGAGCTCTTTCTTCATCAGGAGCAAAGAAGGGTAAGCAACGGCTATATTTATACCAAAAAATCTGATGTATATACCACATGACTTCCTTGTACGGAATATTAAATTATACGCATTTTTTGCATTTCTTTTAAACTTATTAGATTGAATTAAATCTACTTCGCCGACCCGCATAAACCACAATAGAATATAAATTCTTTAAAATCCACTCTAGTGTGTTTACCATAGCGACATTCTGGCGCTAGATTCACTTAACAGTATTATATTTCTTCATATTATAACTCATAATGCACAAAATTTATCATTTAAGAATATAAATCTAATCGTTGCCACATTTTCTATTCAAATACTATAATAAAGCTAGAATGATGTATAAAAAAAATTAAGCAAACAAAACAAAAAAAAAGAAAAAGTTTTTCACAGACGATTGAGTATTTCTCATTCAATTAATCAGTTCTCACTTCGCGAGCAAGGCAAAAATACATAAAAACTCAAAATATCTATATTAAAAATTACGAAGTAAATCTTAAACACTTATTTCCTCGAAAAAATTCCAGAAAGGATTAAGCATGATTTAATTGGCAATAATAAATGAAGGCGTTATCTTTGTTGTTGCAAAGCTAAGTTTCTCTAGATTGGCAACAAATCCACTAGTTTGCTGTTTCAAATGTAAACAATCAATGGCCGCCATGAAAAAAAGGCTTTGCGGCATTTAAACAACTTTAAAATTGTTGATAATTCTAAAAATATTTCATACAGATTTACTAAAGGCATACAAACCTTAACCGGAAGATAAAAACAACACAATTCAATCATTTTTAAAGCAAAAAATGTACAATTTATAAACATATAAGAGTAAAGAAAACTGAGATCACTGAGCCGGGTAACAGAGTGGATATATATATAAATATATTTATATACGTTTGGTGCGGCCGATTGCAACCAAAATACGAGGTGCACATCTACATGTTATAGCAGTCCTATATACAAAATTTCAACGTTCTGAGGGTACTCGTTTTTGAGTTATGCGAGATACGTACGTACATACGTTCGTACAGACTCCACGAAAAATTCTCTTCAGAATTCATTTTAAAGCAGTTTTATAATTTTTTGGAGAAAACGAGTTTTTTATTCTGCTCTTACGTACAGATATCACGCAAAAACATCGCTAAATTGCATTCGATAGCGGTCAAAATGGATATTTTCGTTGAAATATGCTGCCTGAAACTTTTCGCGATTACAGTACTTCCTTTTAGCTTCGTACAAGGAAGTAAAAAGATGGTAGACCTCTGACTTCAGAAAAAGTAAGGAAAACTGATAAATCAAGTCATTAGAATTTTAACAGCGTTAGGTAAAACTAGATTGGAATAAAAGTCATTAACTAAACAAGATAAATATTTGTGAATAAGAAACACTTTAAGGAAATCTGATTCGCCCACTGAAGAAGCTTTTTGGATAATTTTTGCACACTCAAAGTCAAAACGGTGATTAAATTTCCAACAATAGTTAGTTATTGAAAACTTTACACCTTTTCGGAAATAAGATTATTTTGATCTAGTGAATGAATGGGAAAGCAGCTGAAATTCGAACGGAAATGCAGTCTGGGAAATTTGAGCCTCGTGTGCTGGAGCACTATGTTAAAAAGCCAACACTTTTCTTCTGCGTTTACCTCGAAGATTTCCCTTCATGTTTTCTCGAAAAGGAGTTACCAGCTTAGTACAGTAAACACTTCTTAATAATAAGAAGTTGTCTTCATCTCCCAAACAAAATTATGTCCAAAACCTTTCCTGCATACTTTCTCAATTTTGAACTTGTGGGGTTAGGGAGATCGAATGTGTTATCACATCGTATTCTCTTCTTTTGCTTATAGATCACAATGGTCTTTGATCTTCTGCAGCCAGCCGTGAATTAAAATTTTTCTCTGAGTCTATTTTTCAATTTTAGCAAACTGCTTTGATCTTACCAAACACCTTCTCTCCTGTCTAAACATACTGCCCAACAAAGTTTAAATTGAACTGGAGCCCAGCAGAACCAGGCTCCAGTACGTTTGAGTTTTCAAGATAAAACATAATTCTTGCCAGAGTGCACCGGCCGGAGCCCTAAATAAGAGCAGCTCTGGTATTGATTTTATAAAACTAAACCACAGTTTCAGCAGAAAATTCTTTTGATCTCGTAGAATTTTATTTTAATAAGAAGTAAATCTTAGCAATTGATTCTAACTTTTAAATGAATATTCATCTCTGGTTGGGAACCAAATCCTAGAGCGTAGCTGAGATTTTAAAGAAAGAAAAGTCCCTGCACATTTATCAAAACCATATTCTTCAGGACTTGCAATAAATTTATGAGAATTGCTTAACAACAGGCAAAATGTTTGGTCCCGAAAGTGTTAATCAACCTTTTATAATTTGGGGTCATGTCATCGTATCTGCTGATTCTGTAAATATGGCTTCGGTTACCCGTGTTTTATAATAGAATAGGGAAGGGCAAGAGTTGTTTACGTTCACATATGTGCTTCAAAATTATAGTGAGCTTAACATAGTAAAATATTAAGAAGAACGGTTCAGGTGTCTCTAATGCTAATGATTTCTCACGGTAAACAGCGCTTGTAAAGCTTTCCGAACGATGTAACAGAGGAGGAAAACGGTAACTTGTACACAACCTTACTTTTGTTTCCAACTTATAGATCAACTCTCGCATTCGGAGGTACTCTAAGGATCTTTAACCTGCTTTGTGTGCTCTAAGGACCAAAAAATGATATGAGTATTTCTGTGACTTAATATTGCAGCATTTATTTAAGAACACGAATTCCGAAACTAAATTTTTAATTTAATTAACTCCCATACTGCGAAAGTAACTGCACTCCCATACTGCGGAAGATTTCGCATGCTCTTCATAGTTTGAAAGGAAAACATTTTACGAACAATAATTTGCATTATAATTCATACAATTCTCAATTCTGCACCTTTCCAAAGAAGAACTGCAGCTATTTTTTTCATCTGTGCATGCATAAAACAGGTATCTTTACTTAACCTAATCAACCTAAACAGGCTTTAGTGATAAAGCATTCATTTTAACTAAAACATTATAATTAACAAATACTTGCATTGAATATTATTTGTACATAATATAGTATTACAACATTATATGTCTTACATTTAGCTAAATTATAAATATCAATTTAATTTATATCTGTCGTGAGACGAAGCATTTCAAACAATATATTTAATGAGTTTCAAATGCATATTTCTTATCCTTTTAACATTTCTAAGAAACTCAAAAAGTAAGAACGTTTATTTAAAGAATCAATGTTTTATTTCGTTTAACAATGGTCATCTAATATTT